TTTATTTCATATAAGGATATACCCCACTAGGGTAACAGAATTGGTACTGCTCCTTTTTCACATGAACACACAAAAATCATTGAGGTTAAAAATACTTGCTCAAGGTATGTTCAGTGTTCAATAGTAAAGAGAGAAGTAACACCAAGGCATCTGACCACTAAGATGAGCACTATTTCCACTGTTCCACACAACCTCCAAAAAAATTTAAGACATGCTACACATCACTTGAAATTCACATGGGAAGCAAAAATTATATGAAAATCAGCTTACTTGACTTTGTAGTCTTATTAAAAGTATGGTAGCTAAAAAAAAAATTAAAGAGTTTACAACCTGAGTAATATCAAATATTGATACAAGGTATCTGTGGGGTTTTATTAAAAATGTTCCCTATTTCCAAAATTCTAAAAAAAAAAAAAAAAAACAAACTTTTTCACATCTACAAATCTGGAATGTTAATAGAATTAGCACATGAATTTCTAATAAAATACAAGAAGTCTAATTACACCAGGTTTCCTTTCTTCATAAAATAAGTAACATCCACATAACATACATATTGGTACCTTTAGGGTTAGGTATACCCACAAAATATGAAAGAATTCACAGTGATCTTTTCATTCTTAGAAAAACAATTTTTCAAAATCCTATCAACAACTTATCAAGTTCATCTACTTCCCATCAGAGTCCAATGTATCAGTGGGAGGTGTTACTAATGAAAAAAACCAACATAAACACTTGTTACAGAAAAGTGGAAGAAAAGCACACTACATGTAGTACTTTAAATTTCTACTGGCGCTTAATCTCTAAAACAATTAAAATATAGTATGTAGGTCTTAATTCTTGGTTTGTAAACATTATCCATAAAATATATTTTGAGGACAACTGGGATAATTTGATGACAGAATGAGTACTGGCTGGAATTAAGTTACTACAGTTTTGTAGACAGGATAATGTTATTGCAGTTATAAAGAAGAACACTTCTAATTTTTAGGAGACGAATGCTAAAATATTTAGAAGTTAAATATTTTGATGTCTTCAACTTGAATTGGCTTAGAAAACATACATATAGCCAGTGATAAAGCTTAGCAGCATAAGCACCTGCCTGGCAAGTGCAAGGTCTCAAGTTTGAGCCCTGGTACAAAAAATACATATACATACATACATACATACATACATACATACAGAATAGAACAAAATACTGTTGAATATATAGGGTGATATAAAAGTGACTGATGTACTATTCTTTTAAATGTTCTGCATGCTTAAAACTTCTAAACTAAAAGATTAGAAAAATAAATTTTCATAGAACTTGCTAAACTATACAACCACCAATATTCAGTTAAACTGATTTGATCTTAACCTGACAGCTGAATCTCACAAACTAGTCATATCTATTTGCTTATCCAACACACTACTTATACTGAGACACATAGTTGATGGGAAGACACTAGTATTAGTAAGAAGCTAAAGGACATTTTGTATTTTTGTTTTAAATTGGTTAAGTTGGTTTCAACATTAAACTTGTTTTAACACTGTTTTGAAATCAATTCAAGACAAGAGTTTCAAAGTTTCATATTTTAATAGTGCCATGTTTTTCAGATGTTAATATGTGGAACTTCTGCAGTTAGTGGCATAAGAAAATTCTTTTCAAGTAAAGCAATAAAATTGAAAAATAACATCTCGATTGGTTTGTGATTCTCTGGCAACTGAGAACTTGTAAATCATTGTACATCATCCTAAACACAAAAATATTCATCAAGAGCTTGAAATAACTAGTTATCATTGCAGCTAATTAAACAAAAGTTCCTATAATCAAAAGTTAAAATAATGTTCCTATTCTTAAACAATCTGAGTTACTACATCTAGTATTAAGATTAGGTGGTTTCCATGGCCTTAAAACTAATTTGGTAGGTTTAAAAAACTCAAAAGACTGCTCTTTAACGTTAAAAAGAACATAAATTCATAAATAAGTGGTACTCTAAATTCATTCCCATGTCACCCTAGTGTACTAGACTGAGACTGGTGTATTACAAGAGAGTTGGAAAGGGCCCTGAGTTAAAAGTGACCCCTGCTGGTAAGTGATCATAACTAACAGGAGAGAGTATTTTAATCAATCTTAATAGTAGATTAATGACAAATACAAGAAATTTGACAAAAATTGCTTACTCAAACTTTAGAATCTCTCATGTCATCTGATTTGCACATAAGTTGACTTAATAGCAAATAATCTGAAAAGTGTTAAAGTGTTATGAACTAATTAAGAAATATCAATATCTTTATTTTAACTGAACAAACAATAATCACACAGACCTCAACATACAGGTATAAGACTAAGTCAAGGGGGAACTACCCGCTCGGGCCCTCCCTCCTGTCCCTCTCTAGGGACAGGAGCTTTCTTTCAATAAACATGTTCTGCTCATAAAAAAAAAAAAAAAAAGACTAAGTCAAAAAAAAAGAAAAGTCAAAAAGACTAAGTTAAAGTCAACTTTAACCTCCTTCAGGGTGCTACAATTAGGAAGTTATTTAAATAATCTAAAAAATAAATTCACTCTCAAGTCTTATTTTATTCAGTTGTAGTAATAATATTCACTGTACTAACTTAAAAAGCAAGAGATTTTTCATTCCAAATATTATTATTAAAGAAAATGGCTCCTATAAGAAATACATCAAGAGATTTCTATGAAGTCTGTTTTGCTAGAACACATCTTTGTTCTTTTTTGCCAGACAAAAATCACAATTTCAAATGAGGCACATTATTTGAGAAGATCTCTCTCAAATGGCTAGATACTGGCAAAAGGAATTCAGTATTAACGTATACTTCAAATAATATATTTCAAATATATTAACATATATTTCAAATTTTTTATTTTTTAGATTATTTAAGTAACTTCCTAATTGCAGTACCCTGAAGGAGGTTAAAGTGCCAGCAATTTGACTTAGTCTTATACATGTACTTTGAGGTCTGTGATCATTGTTTGTTCAGTTAAAATAAAGATATTGATATTTCTTAATTAGTCCATAAGACTTTAAACATATATTTCAAATGCAAGATTTCTACTATACTCAGTTCTTATGGATTAAATTATAAAAGTATAAATGGTGAATGGTTCTATCTCTGGCACCATGGCTAAGGAGTCATCTTTGAATTAAAAAGGACTGTTTCATTAATGGATAAATCAAACTTTCTGTGAAGAATCTAAAACTAGCCCAAATTCCTAAGCCAAAAGGAATTATAGACTATATTATAACCTATTTTTTCATGTAGGAGAATCAAAACTAAATCCCATGTACAATGCTATACAAAAATTTAGAGAATTTACAACAGTAGGTGTTATCCTCACTGATTATTAGAAGGCAGGAACCATGTCTATTTAACTTTTATACTATCTACTACACTGTTTGGCTTATAAAATTAAGACCACAGTAAGTCATGCAAGAGATGATGATAAAATTAATTTAAAATGTTCGAAAAAGAGAAATCTTTTGAATGAAGATAATTGAAAATTAAAACTTAGAATGTAGACAGATTCTTCCTCTAACTTATTAATAGCAGAGTAGATATAATAAAGTCATAATATTTAAGATTACTGGCTTATATCCAAAGGGACTATATTGTAAACAATAATGTTTTCTTTAAAAGAGAATTTCCTCATGGTTTTCAAATAATGAAATAATGTATGTGTGGTTATTTCATACTTAGGCAAAAGTCAATAGTTAGGCCTGTCTCCTAATGATAAATTTCAGTTTAAGAATGTTAAAATAATTTGTTCTGAGTAGTGTCTGGGACTCCGCATATCTTACAACTGTCCTCATTTTGCTGGATCACATAGGAAGAATCTAACTAACCAAACATTTAACTAGGATTATTCTCAGTGTTTCAGAAAGAGCAAAGTATCACACATACATACATATATACATACATACATACACAAACACAATTTAAAATGACAATTCCATTCCCTATATATAACACTCCCCAGAATTACAGCTGTATATAGTTTTAATTATTTTATAAGGTATGTTAAACAATACTTTCAATTTATTTGAATCTCTGAAGGATAAATTTTATCAAAACAATTCATGAACTATCTCTCCAACATTGTACTTTAAAGTTACTAGAGGGGGCCTGCCTCTTAGCTCAGTTTAAGTGGCTGCTTCAATAAAGCAGTCAGGCTCAGGTTGCTGTGGTTCGGTCCCCAGAACTCAAGCCAGCCAAACCTGCCCTGAAGGCATTCGGAGGCAGCCAAAAAAA